TAACTAACCAGTAGACAATTGTATAGAAGCACAGTTGTATAGAAGCAAATACTGTAGCAATTTCACAATTTGGTCATTTATGATACATTTTTTCTTAATGTAAAAATCTGAAATATTTTTAAATAACTTAATATCTCTCTGTTTTTCTCTTACGCTAATATTCTTTTATATAAAAACGAGACAAGATTGTTGAGAGTTGGTTCACGTTTTTCGAAATATTTTTACTAATAAGCATTTAAACTTATTATAACTCCTCTCTAACCTTATTTATTACCCCATAAGATCCTAAATCACTCAATATCAGATTATTATTGCGGCAAAAAATTGAAAACAAGGCGATAAAATTGAGACTGACCGTTCAGCAATACAGGTCTGCGACTGAAATATACCCCAAAGATCGCTGAAGATTTATCGAGGGGCGAGGCGAGTTACAAATTTATTGCTACGTGCTAAACGCTGAGGACGCTCATAAATTTCCTTCTTTTTACTAGGCGAAGAATTTCGAGTTATAAGCGCTTGAAGGAAAAATGGACGGCAGTGACGTAACGACCAATAGGTTTTCAAAAAGTAACTACTGTGTTTAGTCTTAGTTATGAGGGTTTCTATTAGGTTAGTTATTTTCTATCTATTTTATTATGTCCAACTTTTAACAGACATTATTTTCTTTTTAATTTTTATGCCGTTTTTAGTCTAATTCTAAATCACATAACCAAAACTATTTTTTCCATAGCAACTGTTAAAATTGCCTTGTATCTTTGAATAAGAAGACTAAGGAAGGAGCATATAAAAATCTTAGGTACACCGCGATGGGCCTCAAATATGGCCGAGTTAAATTCCGGTTTATCAGTGCCGTTCTAATTTTATTTAAAAAATGTAAAACTATGATGTAGGGTAGACGTGGGGTAGACTCAATAATTTGTTGTTTTATTTTACGTTGTGAATAAATGTTGGTAGTTATTAAAATTGTTATAAAAATATATAATTCTAATAAAAATAGATAAGTTATAATAAGTATTTATTAACACAAACATCCGATACGCTACTGAAGCAGGTAAGTCAAATTAACGTATCAAATTCTTTGACATCTGATCTTTGACAAGTAGTGAATAAAAGCTAAAATGCAAGAAAATATATAATTTAGTTAATTTAAGTGAATTTCATAAATGATCGGTTTACTACATGTATGTATATTATATAGTCACTTACTAGCGAAAAGTTGTTCCATTATTTCACTCAATTTTTTCCGAGATCTACCGCACGCTACACAACCAACTATTTTAGAGTTTTTTTCGATAAATCGCGATAATGTCACTGTTAATTTAAGTTCTGCCACAATTTCCATCTAGATTTACTACCTTTATACAACTATCAGTAGTAGAATAAATAATAAATAACATAAAATAAGCTCCGTAAAGACTGACACATCCACAAAATTTCAAATCAAATTCAAATGTGTCAAATGAATCGTCAAACAGAACTGTCAAGGATCCCCACCCTAGAGAGCTTTTTCGCCCACCATGCATGAATACATGGATAGCATTATGCTCCTTCCTTAGTCTTCTTATTCAAAGCCTTATATCTATCAAAAATAGTAGATAAAATAGTACTTTAACCGCCAGGGTAGATTAATTGATACTTTAACAGCGAGGATAGGTTAAAAACTTTATTTCTTCTCGCACGTTTTTTAATTGCTTCCATTTTTGAAAATGTTTGTATTCCTTTTCATAAGTTATTCGGGATTTAAATGGAAGTAGTTTGGATATGGCGTTTGTTGCCTCAGCCTGAATATCTGTTGATAATTTACTTATTTCGTTTTGAGCCATTTCTGGCTCCAATTCAATCAGCAATCGACACGAAAGAGAATTAAAAAATATTGACTCAAAACTGACAACTAAAGAGACAGCTTTATTTATTTGTCAAATTACATAGAAACCAACGCCGACTGAATATTTTTTAAAACGTAACTCGCTATGGAAAAAAAATATTGTATAAAACATGACGATAACGTTTAGCTTCCATATAACATGGTGGGGATTATTATTGCTCAGTACACTGCAAGTTTTGTTTTATACTCAAGCCATGGTTTTAGGAAACCCTGTCTTTTAGTTTCTAGAATGCTCTTGAGACGCTGCTAATTCTATGCTGAATTTCAGAGTCGATACTGTCCTTTTCCGAAATCAGACTGCCGAGGTAATTGAATTCCGCTACATATTCCAATAGGATTCTCCGATTAAAAACTTTTAATAGGTCAATCCCACTTCTGAAGGCAGAATGTACGTATTTTCCAAATTAAACACTATATTTCCTTCGTAACTTCTTTATTCCATCGTAGTAAACTGTTCTTAACTAACTATATCGAGAGTTGTGTTTCCCCCAACCAACATCATTCTCGTTATATAATATTTATAATATCTAGTCATTCTAGAGCTCTAAATCTCACATATAAATGTGAGTCCAAGAAATTATTTTATCTCAGTTTAATCGAACGTCTTCATACTAAAGAAACTGATTTAAAAAGATCGTCAATTTGGGTTTTTATTTATTCTTTCTCGAAAGAATCGCATAATGTTGGTGCTACATGAAGTGTAAACCGGTCTTTTTCACTGGACGAATTTACTATTTTAGTTTGAATGCGGCTTTGCCCGTCACGACGTTTTGACAATATTTAACACTAAGCGAACTGTGAAAAATAAATGGGCCAAACTCAGGAAACTTCCAGCCAGACGCGCGCATTACAAGAACTATGAATTATACGGGTTGGTGTATATAGTTGGACACTTTTTACTATAAATACACTAAAATAGATATCGAAGTGAAGTATTTATCAGCATTTGTTTGAAGGTTCGAAGGTTACACGATGAATATTATTGATAAGAGAATAATTACAAGATGCAAATAAAAAGCATTCTAACAAACAACGATATAGATGAGGTATTTCTTGGAATATGTTCCATGAGTTTTATTGTTGACCTCGACGTCGACGATAAGTCGACTATGAAGTAAATGTTGGTAATGTCGCGAATCAATACTAATTTATAAAATCTTTAAGTGACTGACTCACTGATTAATCACGATCCTGTTCAAACCACTCAACGTAAGAAGCTTAATTTTGGCATACAGGTTGATTCTAGGGTGTAGAGGTTCGATAAGAAGGGATTTTTCGAAATTCCAGTTCCAAAGGGGTGAAACCACCCCTCAAATAATACAATATTTTTTATTTAAAAAACGGTCAAATTTCAGAAAAAACGCTTAAACACGTATATTTTATTTAGTTTTTTACATATTTTAAGATTTTTTAAAAATGTATACAGCGTTTTTCGAAAAATCTGGTCATTGATTAATCACGATTCTGCTTAAAGCGCTTGACGTAAAAAGCTGATTTTTGGAAGACGGATTGATTTTAGGGTGTAGAGGTTCCATAAGAAGGGATTTTTCGAAACTCGAATTCTAAGGGGGTGAAACCACCCCTCAAATATTTAGAATATTTTTTATTTCAAAACCGGTGAGTTTTTCGGAAAAACTCTTAAACACGTATATTTATTTTCTTGTTTTACATATTTTAAGATTTTTTAAAAAATTATACAGTTTGTTTCATAAAATATGACCATTGAGTAATCACGATTCTGCTTAAACTGCTTGACGTTTAAAGCTGATTTTTGGCAAACGGATTTACTTTGGGGTGTAGAGGTTCGATACGGAGGAGTTTCTCGAATCTCAAATTCCAAGAGGGTGATGACGCCCCTCAAATATTACAATATTTGTTATTTAAAAAACGGTTAGTCTTTCGGGAAAACGCTTGGACACGCATAATTTATTTTTTTTACATATTGAAATTTTTTAAAAAATTATACAGTGTGTTCCAAAAATTTGGGTAACTGATTAATCACGATTCTGCTTAAACTGCTTGACGTAAAAAGCTTATTTTTGGCAAACGGATTTTTCGAAAGTCAAATTCCAACGAGATAAATCTTCCTCTCAAATATTACCAAGTTATATATCGCCATATTGTTTTTTCTCATGCTGACATAAATGTTTGCATTTTCTTGCTTTGCTTTATCATCACCATTGCAAATGATTAATTCGACGCGAACGAAGTCACGGGTACACGCTAGTAATTTATAAAATTGTATGTGTGCTTTGTGATAGATTTTATTTATTCCCTTTTTATTGTTTAAGAAGAAATATTATTAAAAACCGATATAGGAGGCATAAATCTGGACAGAATGTCTAAAGCACGAACTGTGGAAGGCCGTAAATAGTCACAGTCAATGGCCAATTGCCAGAATATTCCAGATATCCAGATTATGGCATTCCCCGAAACAATTCCGCAGTATCGTCGGACCATACGTGACAATTTTATATTAATTACGGTTCTATATATGGCTTTCTGTTTCATTTGCAGAAAGCTAATAAGTCTGTTTATATTTCCTGCAGTACAATTTGGTAATAAAAATTATAGAAGCGTTAAATAATATATTTTACGTTCCTATAAGTTTTATTACCAAATAATAAATAAATTTTACTGGACTAGCGAACAGTGTAAAGCCAAAAAGTAAACTTATTTTTAGTATTTTTGAGATACTTTGTAGAGTGAGCAACTGACATATGACAACATTTCGTGGTGACATCACGTCCTAGATCAAGATTCTGATTTTAATTGTAATAATATTACAATTAAAATTATAATAATATATAAATTAAAAAAAAAATAATAATTTTTTTTTTATTTATATTATAATTTAGGTTATATTATAACCTAAATTATATTTCCATAGAAACGCTTTTTGAGTTTTATGACTTCAAACCATATTTTTTTTTAATTTTCCCTAAAACGGTTATGGTAAATTTGGAAAAGTATTTTATTTTTAAAACAAGCAAACATTTTTATGAAGAATCCATTTTTCCCAAAATATCAATAATAAAAAACCTTCTCTTTTTCCTTTTGTAAAGACAATCCGGGGACATACTGTATATGTGATAGATTTATTCTGTCATTTAACAAAATGATTTAATGTCATCCCATTCATGTCGCTTTTGACATATTTGTAATTAATTTATTTATCAAAATAAAACTAAAAAACATCCTGTCCAATAAATGTTAGAAATATTCCAGTAAACCACTCCAAAACTACCTAAACTCGAAGACATATTGTTCTAAAATGCCCAGCCATCGAAATAATGATCAAAAATGAACGGAAAACAATTCAGACCCTACAGTGTTTAGATATATTCGTCAGGATCAACGGAATTCGTTCCAAGAACTTCAAGTTCGTGAAGACGCAGTTCTACCAAAAGATCACATCGAGTACTGTGAGTAAAATCACACCGGTGTCCCAGCTTCCGTGGAAAGGGCTTCAAAATCACCGATATGAAAAAGTGAGCACGCCAAAATCAGGAGAGTACATACCAAAATTTAATCAAAAAGGTAGGAAACCAAAAATTAATATAATAAAATCATCGATAGTGATGAACAAATAATGCAAGACCGAGCCTCGTTTGGTCTTGCTGTATGATAAGTCTTTGGTCTTGGTCTGGGTATTGCTGTAATACTTTTTATAAGTTTTTTTTAACAGGTTTTTTTCTAGAGGCACTTTTTACACAAATATAAGTTTTTTGTGTCTAACACCAAGACAATGACCAGCTTGGCTTATTACTAATCCTAATCATCAACATAATTATAAATTTTGATTGTTATATCTGTTTCATTTCGTAGGCTTGGTGGTTGTATGGCCGCAACCGAAAAAATTCCCATACACCAGCGAACTATACGTTTTGACCTGGTTGTTTGCCCATACACTGTATTTCTTGTATGTCACTACTATTCTACCGGTTGGGACTGTAATAAGTATGAAAAGACCGCCATGGAACTGTAGAAAAAAATTGAAAAAACTCGCGAGCAAGAGAGATTACTTCATTGAGCCTGATTGGGATAGCTGAAAATTTTGAGTTAAAATAAAAACAAATTAACAATATATTTATGTAAAATGGTTGTGCGGTCAATAAAGTGAAAATGTCATTAAATAAAAATGTGAGATACTTATTTTCTTTTAGGAAGACACAAATAATTTTTTTAAATATATGCAAACATACGGGGTGATCTATTAGTGGGAGGAAGTCCAGTAACGTAAGCAGTAATAGTGTACTAAACTTACGTGAATAGAAATCGGCCCACTGTGAACTTTTGGTTTTAACTGTGTCTTTTAGAATCTATTTATCATGGCAAGTAAAAAATATGAGCTGTTTCAAAGATAATTTAACATGCCTTAATATGAGCATAAATTTATTCAGGGTACTTATCGTTTATATGCGTACCAACGGGTAAACAAATAAAAGGTATTTGTGTTATTTGTGTTGTGGTGACAATAAGAATAACAAACTTGTCAAATATTGCAATTACTACCTTTGTAATCGAAATTTTCACATTGTTCTTTTATTCTTTGATTAGTTGTGTTTCATTGTTTGATTAGTGTTTCAATTTAATGCATTCATCACCGGAAAAAGCCGCCCAAGTAATCGCCTTAATCAAAAATGGACTTAACAGATAACTGTAGCTCGGCAACTACATATGACATGCGGAGCGGTTCGAAGAGTGTGTGAACGATATGAGGAGACTCGATCCTTTCGTAGTCGACCTGGAACTGGTAGAAAGAGATATACAACGGATCGTGATGACCGCTTTATTGTGTCAACAATGTTAAGAAATCGGCGTCTTAATGCTATTCAGGTGCAACAACAGCTCCGTGAAACACGAGGAGTGACTCTTAGTCAATAGACAGTAAGACGAAGATTGAAGGAAAGTAACATAACCCCCAAAACACCCGCAATTGGTCCAAAACTTACCCCAGCTCATCGTCAAGCACGCCTGCGTTTTGCACTGGAACATCTGAATTGGACACTAGAACAATAGGAATCTGTTTTATTCTCAGATGAGACCAGGATATGCCTCTATGGTAGCGACCAAAGAAGAAAAGTGTACCGGAGGCCAGGTGAGCGATTCGCAGAATGCTGCATTGAGGAGCGGATTGCTTATGGAGGTGGTTCCTGCATGATCTGGGATGCAATTTCTATGACTGTGCGAACCGACCCAGTTTTCATCCGTTGGGGCGACCATCGGCACGGGAGAGGAGGTTTAATGAGCTAGGTATATTGAGGAGATTTTAGCAGTTCATGTGGTACCTTACGTCGACTACATTGGAAACGAATTCACTTTTATGCATGACAATGCAAAGGCACACACATCAAGAATCGTACACGATTACAGTTCAGAAGTCGGATTTCGGGTTATGGAATGGCCAGCATGCAGTCCAGACTTAAACCCGATAGAACATTTATGGGATGAGATCCCAGAGCTCATTGTTGCAGTAGAGGAACAGTGGCTTAACATCCCGCAAGAAGCAATATCAAATTTGATCGAATCTATGCCAAATCGTATGAGAGATGTTGTTAGAGCAAGAGGGGGTAATACCCATTATTAAAAATTTAGTTTAGTTAATTGTCCATAAATAAATAAATAAATAATAACATACCTCTTAGTAAATAAAAAACGATAATTTGTTTCATGCATTAATTTAATAATTTTAATTCAAAGAAACCAAAATACAAATTAATATCTCTGAACTCTTTTCAGAGAATATGAAATTGTCTTTCAAACAGCATGTATTTTTTCTTAATCTGACAAATAGATTCTAAAAAATATATAGTTAACTTTAAAATTTTGCCTTGGGCCGGTTTCTATGCACGCAAGTGTATATGCAGAATTTTATGTTGAACCCAATTCTGTTCAGAAAAATGGCTGTTGCAATTTAAAAAGCTCTATTATTACAACTTTATCATTACTTATTTTTGAGACACCGTGTATACAACAAAATATTTGTAAGATATGCGCCTTTATATAAAAATACGGGCCTAAAATGAACAACTCTCGTGATTTCGTCTGTAGCTGTCATTGAAATTTGTCTCATCATATTTCAACGTGCTTAGAGCAATAATCCACTTATCGGAGAGACAATTTTGATTTTCCAGCTGGTTTCCCCACGTAACGGGCCTCCTCTCCTCATTTTTGGGACCCCGCATCATCCCCAAATGTCGTTACGGGATTAGATCGCCGGCCTTTGCTCGTTTGTCTGCTTGTCTTTGTCAGGAATTATTTAGGGATGAAATTATTATTCTGTATTAAGCGTCCTTTGTAATTGAGAAACAATTGGTTCATGTTCGTTTCTTGAAACGAATTCATTTTTGCTAAATAAACAGTTATTTTTTGTAAACATCGCTGCATGGGCGGAAACCAACTTGTCAGTGATATTTTACTACTACTACAAATTTGCTTAACTTTTCAGGAGGTATTAGTGGAGTACCCAGAGACTTTTACCTTGGAATTCAATTACTGTGAATGTATTGATATCAAGCCTTCTGTATTGTGTTTTATAGATAAAATACTAAAATATTTACCCTTTTTTTTCGTTGCTTTTAATTTTTTATTTTAGTAATTTTAGTAAATTCTTAATTATGTCGTACTTAATATTTTGATTTTTTTAATTCTTTTTCTAAGTAAATTTATTGAAATAAATAAATCTAATGCATATTATGCACCTATTCTGCTTACATTCTAATCATTAAAATTTTGATTGAAATCGAATTATACAGGGTGGCGCGTCATATGCGACGCGGTTTTTGCAAGGACAACAAAAGTTTGTATTGAAATGAAATTTTCTGAGCTTATGTAAATCAATTTAAAGTATTTTCTAAAATTATGTAGAGTTCTACAGGGTGTACCCAAAAAAAGTTACACATCAAAGTTATGTTTTTTGTAATGGAACACCCTATATATTAATTGATTTTTGGATTCTAGTAAAAAAATAAAGGTTTGTTTCATTAGAAAAGTATATGACTAAAATGTATAGTTTTTGAAATACATTCACCGGCAAGAAAAATGGGCACCTTATAACTTTAATGTATTTTAAAAGTTAATATATTTTATTTTAATGGGCCGATTTTGATGATTTTTTAAGCAGTGTGTTGCCAAATTATTTGACTTCTTAGTATCTTTTTCTAAATTAATAATGAAACTCCCCATCTGTTAATTATACGAGGGAAAATGTTGATATTTTTGATGAATGTTTGAAACACCCTGTGAGATATGTTAAAACAGCAAGAAATTTAAAATTTATTTTATCATCTAGATACATCCTTTCTCGATGGTTTGCTTTTTGGTTCATCTCATTAGCTTTATTTTTGTTGGAAATATTCGGTTTTAAAGATGGCACTAACATTTTTCGTAATTTTTACATTAAGACCATGCCTTTGCTTTTGGGCCTAGTCAACACATCTAGTAAGTTCTGGTCCCGAAGCTGGCCTTCTTGACATAAGATTTGCTTCATTTAATCTTCTTCTTGTAGTCCGTTAGTTAATATGTACGGTTCTTAAGTGCAATTAATTATCAATTTGAAAAGCTGGCAAACAGCGATTTCTTATAATAGTAATAAACTTACAATAAGTCGATCGTATCGATTAGAAGTTCTTATACGAAGGTTCCTGGACGTCTATATCGATGTCCTCATGGACGTGATCATAATTCAAAGACCATTTAATATTCTCTGTGGTATTAAGGTATTTTTGGAACCAGAATTTTATAGCAAATTCACTAAACTCGAATAAAGTTTTATAAAAATTTGTTCACAGTAAATGAATTCCGAGGTTTGTATCTCATAAGGTCTATTCTAACTATTTCCGTCATCGTTAGAAGCAGAAACTGGGAACTCTAGCAGAAAGGAACATTGAGAAAAAAAAACTGTCACAGCAAATAATGATGTAATTTATTTTAATAGAACTGGAACACTCTGTATATTTGCCTGTAAATCAAACCGATTTTGCAAATATCCTGAACCTAATCGGGCCAATTATCTCGGGCGATAATTATATTTAAATCGAATTGGACGTTGCGCCAGCCAAATCCAAAAACTTGGATATTTCCAATAAATCGAGCGGAAATTAAAACGCGATATGACGCCATTTGTCAAGTGACGTCACGCGATTTGTAGGCAAATCGTGGATAAAATTACCTGGAAATTGTCGCGCGTTCAAAATCGGAAAATTGGAAAATTTGGTTAGCGCGGAATTAAGGAAGAATTCGGAGTGGGGAAATTAAAAGTCATACTATACTAGAAATTCATTTACCCAGCAGTAGTTATAAAAAGCATTTTTGGTAAACTCTGTCTCAAATAGTTTCTGAAAAAAAAAATATTTTTTTGAAAGGTCCGATTAAATTTATATCTCCGAAACTAAAGTTTCAAAAAAAGTCATACTATACTAGAAATTCATTTACCCAACAGTAGTTATAAAAAGCATTTTTGGTAAACTCTGTCGCAAATAGTTCCTGAGAAAAAATTATTTTTTTTTAAAAGGTCCGATTAAATTTATATCTCCGAAACTAAAGTTTCATCAGTATATTTTTGATTATATTAAAGCCTGAAAACTTTTTTAACGCATGTAAAAATTAGAGGAAAAAATGCGATAAACGCTTCATGGAGTTGGAAGTTTCCAGAAAACTTTAAAGTTGTTTATTTACATTTAGATTACGCACTGATTCCAGGATTATCTCCTTTGAGGAAGTTCTGAAAGACCGCGCAATGTTTATCCTGCCCGCGGACATGTTGGATACGTCCGCCCTAATAAAATAAATATGAAATTAATCTCTGGGTAAACGTTAAAAAACTGAGACGCTTCGAGGAGGTGTATTTATATTTCTTTAAAATTTTTATCAAAGAAAACTTAGTTAAGGTTATAGCGGAAGTAGTAGGTATTAAATATAAAAAGGTACAAAAAAATCAATAAAAGTTCTCTGTATGTTCAAATTTAGTTTCGAAGAAAATGTTTTAAACAAAATAAACATATTTTTTCCATAGCAACTGTTAAAATTGCCTTATATCTATCAAAAATAGTAGATAAAATAGTACTTTAACCGCAAGAGTAGATTAAATGATACTTTAACAGCGAGGATAGGTTAAAAACTTTATTTCTTCTCG